GGAACAGCTAGTTTTATTATAAAAACAAAACAAGTGATTATTATACGCTATATTATAATTTGATATTTTAACCTAGAAATAATATTATTGTAAATAAGAAAAAGATTAAACAAGTTTATGCGTACTGCTTTAATTAATTTTCCTCGAATAAATAATTACTATAGAGGGGTCTACAGTGATTCTTTGGTCGCATTTAAATTTGAAGTTATTCCACCCCTGAGGGTGGAGAATGGGGAATCAAATATTAATGTAAAGAACTATTTATACGATATTCTAATTGTTACCTTGAGGTTAAATGTTGCTTAGTCTACTTGAAAGGACCAAAAAAATTTAAACTTATACAAACGACTCCAAAACTAAAAGGTATAAAATAATATTTACAGAATTGAATAGCCTCTGTTACCGTATAGTGGCGGTGTAAGAATATCCACTAGCACATATCATCCCGTGAGTGTCGCGATAGATGTAATGGCGATAGAGAAAAAAAAACCAGTAGATGGGTAGCCGCTTTAAGTTGCCAACCTGCTTGCCAAGCATGGCAACTGGCAAATATCCCCTCTACGAGGCAATCTATTTTCTCTTTTTTTTCTTATAAAAACGTTACCCCCTACACTAGGATTTTACCTGTATCGTAAAAGTAGCTTACAAACATAAATTACACAAGCACAAATATCCAAAAATTATTTGTAGGCCATACAAATACATGTTGCGTGCGAAATGCGTACCCGCCTGCAACTCATTGCCGTTAATCTATGAGGGTTGCCTGTTCTCAGAACTGAACTTTTGATAGTCTGTAATGTATGTATGAATGAATGAATGACGATGTTACGAGAAGTCCGCAAGCAGCAACTGGAGCAGCGTGGAGACTAACGGCTTCCTTATTCTCTTAATTCTTCTCCCAATGAAAGAAGGCATAAATCCAGTAGTACGTACACAGGCTAGTAGAAAGGCGTAAATAAGTTTTCATCCATCTTGCAACCTTGAATTGAATATGGTTAGTTTTATGGATTTTATTTATTTATTTAACAATTTATATACACACAAACAATGGAAAGGACACAACATGATGAAGAGTTTGTACAAGGGCGCTACTTATCTCATTATGAAATTTCTTCCAGTAGGCCAGTTAAAAAGATATGTGATAAATAAAAGATAATAAGGTGTGCACTTTGTTATTGTATACACATACATACATATATCTATACAAGATAAAATAAATACACATATATATATAGTCATAATTAAATATATATAAATAATAAAAAGTATAGTAAATATCAAAGATATGGAAACTTACATAGAAAACACAGATAAATAATGTTCTTTTATACGTTTGTTACGAATAATGTGACTATTTTGAATTCTCGGATAGGAAGAGGAAGTGAATTCCAGAGTCTTACTGCATGTACAGAGAATGAACGGGAATATGAATGAGCTTTAAAGGATGGGAATTTTAAGAGGGTTTTAAGGTGAGATCTACAAACTGCAACCGGACATTTAAAAAAGTTAAATCAATTACGAAGGTATGAAGGGAAATTCGGACTATGTATTTTTATTTCATCGCGTTTAATTTAACTTTTTTAATTATTTAAATATAAAATTGGATTAATTTAACGTGTACTGTTCGCGTAAAAATAAGAAATCATTATGTGAAACTTTAAATCTCAATACTTCTCTCAACGGGGTGAGGCCTGTGTCCAGTAGAACGTATAGGACGAGGGTATTTTTCATTAATCTTGCAACCTTGAATTTGTAAAATTACCTAATAAAGTGTTATGCAAACAAAGTATAAGCATTTGAGGCTTGCGTGTTTTTGTATAGTAAGCAAATAATGACCGCCCACAACGCTACCAGCGTGGACTATGCACGGCAATATCTGCAGAGTAATTTCACCAACAAATTACACGGGCGAACTAGCCGAAACGCCTCTCCTATTAGCCTGTAACATACGATGCCCTGTTTGCAGGTAAGTAATGACCACGTTTGTTTCCACCAGGTGGCTTTGTTATGAACTATTAGAGAACATAAAACTGACTTCATTTTACGATTGTTTCTTTTCTAGTTTGTTAGGTTAAGTGCCCACTTTGAGTTTCTTTGTTCTGTATAGTACTCCATGTTATGGCAGATTTAAGTATCATTGTTGTTGGAGCCTTTATTTTATTGTTAAATTATTATTTTTTAATTTAATCCGTAATTATTTTATTTCAGGGTGACATTTTAAAGTGGATGCAGATATCAAGTATTTCATTTATTAATAAATTAGCTAGGTAGTGCCTAGACGTAGTACTAAAAAATCGAAATAAAATAAAATGATACAAACAATAACTGTACATCAATAAATAAAAATACGCCAGCCCAGCAAGGTAACTAGTATATTATTTATTATGCATGATAAATGTCGATAACTGGAGACCCGTTTCACTGATAAGGAGACGTTCCATCTTAGTCCTCAGAGGTAACATTAATTCTTGATCAAGAATATTATTATATTTAAACGTAGATTATTTATATTTAAACGTGGCAGAGCCATGCTGCAGCTATATTAGTAGTATAGTTATAGCACGAAGGGGTCAGCTCGACCAGGGTAGGACCACGCTCTCACAGAATACCAGCGTAAAATAGCAGCTTAACACTGCTATTTCGTATGGTGATTGTAGAGAACCGGAGACCGTTTTTACTGTAAAAGAGGCATTCCATCTTAGTCCTCAGAGCTGACAACGCATCTGCATTTTGATTCTTAATCGAGGATAAATAAAGCTGTCTATGGGCCACACTATCCCCTTACCATTAGGTGGGCTGTGTGCTCGTTTGTCACCCTATCCTATAAAAAGAAATCTTGGGCCTAATATCTATGCGCCTCAGCATTCACTTATTATATATATATTTATATATAAAAATTACGTGTCACGTCGTTTGTCCGCGATGGATTCCTAAACTACTGAACTGATGTCAATGAAATTTTGCACATTTTGGTCCAACTTGAGAGATATAGGATAGTTTTTGTCCCGATAAACGATCCTCAAAATTTTTTATTGCGAATTTAAGGATTTTATAGGTCGTTGAAAAGGGCAGAAGAACGTCTGCCTGACCAGCTAGTATATATATATATATATATATATATATATATATATATATATATTAATGAAATTGAAGTGTCCGTAAGTAATATTGCAATAACTACTTTTTATCGACTTCAGCGGGTTAATTTCATGTCTTAAGACATGAATAATCATTTGTTCAAAAATAAAATAAATAGTAATACCAAGAGTGATCTTAGCTATAGAGTTTATTCGATAAACTTGAAATAAATTTTTTATAAAAAGAAAACCGAAAAATTTATAAAATAAATGGTCTTTGATTATCTCTAATCCACATAACGCCATATTAATAGATCTCATCCAGGCGAGGCCGGGCCGGATAGTAAATAATTAATATAAAACAAGAGTATCAAGTACTTGATGCGACACAACTATAAATGTGATAGTAAAATCAATGGGGACAATCAGAACATAAACATTAGCTTACATACATTTGCTTTTCAAGCCATCAGCAGGAATGTAGGTCGTCTGTCGGTTCAAACGAAACACGACATTAATGTAAACAAAATCGAAATTACTATTTATTCAGTGCTAGAAAGTAATTCGAGAAAATTATAGTTGATTTTTTTCTCTTTTTTTAAATGTTGTGGATAAACGGACTAAAGTAGTAAGTGGCTACTGCAGTGCAAGGACACCTGCACCAAACTATAAACAAAGACCACAAAAGCCTTGTCACCTCCGAGGACTAAGATGGAATGCCTCACAGTTTGTAACTATACTAGCTCTATACATTTCAGAGCGGAACGCAGTAGTGTACGCTCTACGGGGCAGAAATAAGTTACAATTTCTTTTATAGGATAATGGTGATGAACGAGCACTCATTCCAGCTGATAGTAAGTGGTTGCTGTCGCCTATAGACATCTACATCTATCCTCGATTACGAATTCAAATGCAGATGCGTTGTCACCCGTGAAGACTAAGATGGAATGCCTCGTTTTCAGTAAAAAGGGTCTCCGGCTCCCTACACTCACAATACGAAACACAGCAGCGATGAGCTGCTATTTTACGCTGGTATTCTGTGAGAGCGTTGTTCTTTCCCGGTCAAGCCGACCCATTCGCGCTACAACTATACTACTAATATAGCTCCAGCTTGGCTCTACCACGTACAAAATTAAAAGGTTGCTAATTACTCAGATGGATTCTTATGCAGAAAGGAGTTGTTCTACTGCCTATTTTTGGATAATTTTCATGTAATAGCGGCGTAAGAGAATGAAATAGATGTCGTAAGAGATAAATGAAAATTAAACAGGAAATGGGCAGCAGCATATTTCCGATTACAACTCTAAATCATATCAAACCTGTTGTTGCCAACCCGCCTGTCAAACGTGGCAACTATGGTAAATGTTCATCACAGCCTGTTAAAAATATACAGCTGAACATAGGCCTACACTATAGCTTAATTTAATTTTCCACCTTGCGGCATACGAATCGAACCTTTGTAGATGCACACAATACTTGCTCTGGACTCTTTCCCGTGTGTGCTTCCTAACTCTTTATAATTTTTATAAATTAAAAAACGATGTGACAAACGAGAATACAGTCCATATTATGGTAATTGTATACTGTGGTTCATAGTTATCCCCATTAATCTTCGACGAAGACTCAAAATGCAGATGCGTTGTTACCCCAGAGGAATAAAATATAATGCCTCGTTTCCAGTAAAAAGGTCTCCGGTTCGAAGCACTCAACATACAAAACACAATAGCATTAAGTTTTTAAGCTGGTCAGAGCTGGTTTGAGAGCGTAGTCCTGCCCCGGTCGAGCCGACCCATTCGTGATACAAGTAACGGCAGCGTTGCTCTGCTACGTGTCACTATATCTTTGTCCATATTTTCTTCATAATACCTCTAGGAATGTTATGAGGAAGTGGTTCTTCAATACTAAGCAGCTATATTTAGTTACCTTTGATGAGGTGCGCGGCGAGCACGAGCGCGGCGGTGAAGGCGTGCCGGCGCCACGCGCACGCGCACATTGCGCCGCGCCGCTCGCACGCACACGCACACTCTGCACACACAACACATAGTCAGTATGATACCTTCAACAATATAATAAATAAAACAAAAACAATTAAATAAATTTTGAAATATATCTTTGTTACAACTAGTAATCACAAGCATACATTGTAAAATGTCATAACACATAATAATTTCTTACAAGACATTAACGCAAATTGTAGTATTCGCATTGATATAAGTAACCATTATTTATATAAATTACTTTTACGGATTTTATCGCGTTTAATTAAACTTTTTTTAATTCCCGAGGCTTCGGATACTTTTCAGCACCCATGATCACGGGGTGGATTGAGCTGTTTGACGTTCTGACGTCACAGTTAACAAAGACACGTCGGGACGTACAAGTGCACTCTCTATTCCCTCACTCACATAGTCCGATAGGGCGGTAATCCGACTCGACCAAAGAGAGATCATGCGCAGGAACAAATACTTTACGTGTTTCCGAGGTACAGAGAAGCAACGTCAACTCAGGATTGCAATTTTTTTGACAGAAAATCCAATAAATGACTTCGGCCCAGCCCAGGACACGAACCCGGGACTTCTTGATCAGCGATTGCGTTTACGGCCACTAGATCAACGAGACAGTCAATCAGTCACGAACTAAAATAAAATAAGCGCGATAAAATCCGTTAAAATAATTTTATACAACAGAACTCAATTTGCTTGCGAGTTCGATTTATTCTCATAGTTGTTATAAATTACCACGGCAGAGTTGAACATGTCAATGGGAAAAACAAAAGCGCTTCTAACCCATTGTTTGCAAAAGTTATTTTCACACAAACTCCAGCGAATGTTAACGCTATAGTTACGGATAACAATTCACACTAGGGGCTCTGTACTCAGCATAACGTCACAGTTGCTACCGCTCATTACTATCACAGAGCAAATATTGTGACTAAAACCGTACATAATTTGCATTTGCACACGTATGTAAGCATAAACAATGTTTACATTGTATCCACGACAATGCATCGCGTTAGATGGTCTTCTCATCTCACTCTGTTATCTATTACATTTGCATCATATAGCATAAATTTGATCCTTCCTCGATCGCGACGACCTATTCGTAATGCAGCGATAATACAGCGGCAGTGTGGCTCTACCATAACATATTAATAACCTACAGTCTGGGTACCACTCTACTACTTATTTATATCACCAAATAGCAATGCTTGCACTGCTGTGTTCAGTTCCAAAGGTAGATAGAGATATAGGTGATAGCCAATATAATTACTAACATAGAGGTTACAACGCATTAGTTACTTTCCTTATTTGAAATGGGTTGAAGTAGCCACTTACCATCAGGTAGGGTGTGTGTTACTTGGCATATGATAGCAACATTATAAAAATAAGTTACTTGACCTTACGGTAACCTTTTAGCGGGACGTATTAGAAGTGTTGCAATGCGATAGGATCGCAGGATAAGGCTAATTTAAAGAAAACATAATTTCAGTTCTTATTTAATACGTATTTATTTAAAAATTGCTGAGACCGACTACAGATTTAACACTTGATAAGTGTTCATTATAAATTTCATAATTTATTTTTAAAAGGTTAAGGTCAAGGTTAAACTAACCTTGACAATGTTACTCGAAATCCTTTAGAATATAAATCTAATATATAAGTGCTTATAAAAACTAAACACCAAAGAGGATTTTGAAACTATTATAAAAAAATATTAATGTAACTACATCGCTAGTTTAATTAACATTTTTGTGCCTCTTTATTTATCGTTTTAATAGTGCCTAGATTTTTTCCAAACTTGGTCAGTAAAGTAAAGTAAAAGTTGCGACCTATATACTTCCCTGTTTTGGGCACAAGCGACCATTCATTTCTGAGATTCAGGGCAAGAAATAGTCCGCCGTGTTGGTGGACTTCTCAGCACACTTATCTTCTATTTTTTTAATGTCTTAGACATGCAGGTTGCCTCACAATGTTTTCTTTCGACGTCCAAATGGTAAATCAGCATTTAAAATTGCAAATAACAATTTCATTAGTGTCGGCGGAGATCGAACAGTGTTCGCGTACTTTGAAATTTACAGTGAGCGCTCACCACCTGATCTACCACCATTCTTAGTCAGTCATCCAGCCATCCATCCGTCACAGCCTATAAAAATCCACTGCAGAACATAGATTGCTTCATTGGGAGTATTTTGCCACAGTTGCCAGGCTTGGAAGGCGGGTTGGCAACCGCAGATTTTTATAATTTTGATTTGTTATTAAGAAGACGCTGCTGCCCATCTTGTTTTGTTGTTGTTGTTTTAATTTACCTCTGTCGGTGTACGACACCCACGGGACGATGTGGGGTACTGGATATTTTTACAGTAAGCACACGGTTTCGGTTCTTGGTAAAATTTTTTGTTCTTGGAAATCAAAATAATCTAAAGCGATTGCTATAGAGCTTTGTTACATATGTATTCTGGAAGGGACAAGCTGTATGTTGATAATGTTTGCCGTGACTGGAAGCAGTAAAGTTGGATAAACATCGCGCCCCGCGGCCCGTACACTGTACGCACGGGCCGTTCAATAAATAACGTTTGTAAATAGAATGCAAATACTAGGATAGTTGTATTTCATTTTTAATCGACTAGTATCTTACCTAAATAAATAAAAACCGGCCAAGTGCGAGCCGGACTCGCGCTTGAAGGGTCCGTACAATCGTAATACACCTTTTGATTTTTAATTTATTTAATTTTCATTATTTGTTCTTATAGCGGCAACAGAAATACATATTCTGTGAAATTTTCAATTGTCTATTTATTACGGATCATGAGATACAGCCCGCTGACAGACATACTGACGGACGGACGGACGGACGGACAGCAGAGGCTTAGGAATAGGGTCCTATTGGTTACCCTTTGCGTACGGAACTCTAAAAACTAAATTAATAAAGAGAAGTTTTGTGTATTGTTAAGAAACCTGCAAAATGTTTCAGTTCTTTATTTTCTATTTTTAATGTCAAACCAAAGTCAAAATGAAATATTAATATCATCTTTATATATAAAAATTACGTGTCACGTTGTTTGTCCGCGATGAACTCCTAAACTATTGAACTGATTTCAATGAAATTTAGCACACTGTGTGCATTTTGGTCCAACTTGAAAGATAGGATAGTTTTCATCCCGATAAATGACCCTTAAAATTTTTTTATTGCGATTTTACGGATTTTTTATAGGAGAAAGGGTCGTCGGAAAGGGCAGCTAGTTATTTATAAATTAATAATCATAACAAATATATTAACATATCATTATTTTGTACTGTCTTTTTAATAGAATAAGGGTGACGAACGGGCACACAGGGCAGAAGCGACTGCTGTGGCCTATAGACATCTACATCTATCCTCAATAAAGAATCAATATGCAGATGCGTTGTCACCCGTGAGGACTAAGATGGAATGCCTCGTTTCCAGTAAATGGGGTCTACGGTTCGTTCTACTTACAATACGATACACAGTAGCGCCAAGCTGCTATTTTACGTAGGTATTATGTCATCATCATCATCATCATCATTACAGCCCTTCACAAGTCCACTGCTGAACATAGGCCTCCCCCAAAGAATGCCACAAAGCACGGTCCTGAGCCACCTGCATCCATCGACTTCCTGCATATCTTACCAGGTCGTCACTCCATCTAGTGGGGGGACGCCCTACACTTCGCCTGCCGGTACGAGGCTGCCACTCGAGAACCTTTCTTCCCAATCGGTTGTCGGTTCTTCGAGCTATATGGCCGGCCCATTGCCACTTCAGCTTACTAATCCGTTGGGCTATGTCGGTCACTCTAGTTCTACTGCGGATATCCTCATTTCTGAGTTTATCACGCAGAGAAACTCCGAGCATAGCCCTCTCCATAGCTCGCTGAGCGACCTTGAGCTTCCTCATCCGGCCAGCAGTGAAGGACCACGTCTCAGTTCCGTATGTCATCACTGGCAACACGCACTGGGTGTACAGTCTCGTTTTCAAGTTTTGAGGTATACCTGATGAGAAGATGTGCCGTAATTTCCCGAACGCTGCCCAACCGAGTTGAATCCGTCGATTGACCTCTCGGTCGAAGTTGGACTTACCTAGTCGGACTATTTGTCCCAGGTAAACATACTCGTCAACAACTTCGAGCTTAGTGTTCCCAACAACTACCGGCATAGGTGTGACATGGACATTAAACATGATCTTTGTTTTGTCCATGTTCATCTTAAGACCTATCCGTTGGGAAACACTATTGAGGTCATTGAGCATAGTGCTTAGGTCCTCCAGCGATTCTGCCATAAGGACTATATCGTCGGCAAATCGAAGGTGAGTGATGTACTCGCCATTGATGTTGATACCGTATCCTTTCCAGTCCAGAAGCTTGAAAACATCTTCCAATGCAGCGGTAAAGAGTTTCGGGGATATGACGTCACCCTGTCTTACACCTCTCTGCAATTGGATAGGTTTCGTACTCTGGTTCTGTACTCGGATAGCCATCGTAGCCCTACTGTACAAGCACTTCAACACTTCGATATACCGACAGTCAACTTGGCATCGCTGAAGGGACTGCAGCACCGCCCAAATTTCGACGAAATCAAAGGCTTTCTCATAGTCCACATACGCCAGACATAGTGGCAAATTGTACTCCTCGGACTTCTGCACAATTTGCCGAAGGGTATGTATGTGGTCTATGGTGCTAAAGCCTTTTCGGAAACCGGCTTGTTCGGGAGGCTGGAAGTCGTCAAGTCTGCGCGCGAGACGATTCGTAATGACTCTCGAAAACAGCACGTAGACGCGGCTCAGAAGGGAAATCGGTCTGTAGTTCTTCAAGAGAGCGTTGTCGCCTTTCTTGAAGAACAAGACCACCGCACTTCTGCTCCACGCCTCCGGTGTAATGCCACCATGGAGGACGGAATTAAAGAGCTTCTGAAGGACTTCAAGTACCGGTCTTCCACCCGCTTTCAGAAGCTCCGCTGTAATTCCATCCTCGCCTAGGGC